GGGCTTAAATCATTGTAGACTGGGACTTATGCAACGAGATGATCGATTCTAGGCCGTGCGAGTAAATTCGAATGAACTCGCTAAAAGTTGTATCTTGTAACAATTATCGTTGACTCTTTGAACGACATTTAATTGAAGGTTAACATGTGACGCGAGATTGGCCGGGGTCATCGTTAACAAGCCAAACAGAATGTTGGGATCGGGAGAGCGAAATGGCGCAGAAGCGCCCGAATGAATAATCGAAGCGTGGAGCGTGAGCTGAATGCGGAAAAATGTGAATGCAGACAGTTTTTGATACACCTCCTGTGGAATATACTGGGTGTCTCGTCGCGGCACCCTGAGAAATATTGTATCAATAATTGAATACCCCACTGTCGCGCGTGTGACGACGTTCATAAGTATTAAGACGTTTGCATACGAGAGTCCTAGTTGGGTTCTTCTCGTCTTTTAGCGTCGCTTGGCACACCTAGTGGAAAATGTAAAAGCTTGCACGGTTCTTGAATAACTCGAGTAATGTATTTAACAGTAGACGGATTTAGTGGGCGAACTTAGAAATGGAGAAAATTCATTAGACCTTGCCTGTAATATGTATAATTACAGACGCGATAAAATGTAATCATAATCCGTCTCTCGTTAATAGATCCCGAAATTGTACGAATTCATTTAGCGTGTCGAGCTACGGGGTGGGAAGCTCGCCGACACTTTTGCCGTTGAATTCGTCTTGGCGCGATTAAATTGGACAAAAACGAAAGTCGAGCAATCAAAGTCGCAAATCGACGGACAAAGTTCTTGCCCGGCGACCGCGTGGAGATCGGTCCATTAAGCGTTTCACTTCGCCGGCAAGTTCGTCAGCCATTCGTTTCTGCTAATGCATCGCCGGGCGAAGTTTTAATTCGACAAATACGACGACGGCGTCGGACACCCGATGCATTACCTACTTAAAGACAATGGCGTGGCCGCAAGCGTTTTCCGACAATGTATTACCGTCGGACGGAGATACTTTCCCTGATTCTCTTTAAATGGTGGCGGTAGCTTTGTTTTTAATGCGCGCGACCCAGTTGGCTCGGCGTTCCATTTTGCGCGTTGCACCTATCTCCGACAGCTTAAAGCGAATTTACGTGGTGCATTTGCGACGATCATCCCGGACGATCGTCATCTCGAGCCGGTGATTCTTCTCGCTTCGCATCGCGATACATCGAGCATCGAGTCGCGGCGTTACGACTTAGCGACGCGTGACTGCGAGAGTCAATAAGGAAAACGCGAAAGACGCACCGAACGCTCCGCGTTAGCGTTCAATTTGAACTTTGGCGTAAATCATTCTCCGGAATTGCCGTCGTGTACTTTTGCAAAACTCAAGATGCGACAGCGTCGCCAGTGGGGGACTGTTTACTAATTAGCGTCGTCTCAGTCCTGTTCGAAATACGACGAGTTCGCGCGAAGGTGCAGGTGTCTTTTAACGGCTCGACGTTACTTCGAGTTGTTAACCTATTTTACTACGTCTTGCAAATGAAATTCGCTCTTCGGGCGATACACGACGTTGATATTACGTCGTCGCGTGAAAAATGCACGGCGTCGCTTCCGCTTTTCCGGCCGCTCTTAAGTTCCGCTTTTCAGTCAATTGGTAGAAAACCGTACGGGTGATCCCGGGCCAGCTAGTCGCTCGTACAGAATCGCAGATACCGGGGGGATGAAACCGCGAAGAGAAGCGGCGATTGGCCTGGGACACCCTGTGTGCAGAATATGCGCGATAAAATCGTCTCGGCGACGTGCACGTGTAGACCTGCACGGACCTGGATGAAAAGTGGAGCACGGGAGAATTGCGCCGTGACGAAGCGACAAAGCAGTTAAGTGATCGATCAGTCCTTAGGTGTGCACCATCTTTGCTGCTGACCCCCCCGCGAAGCCCCCCTCCTTTCCCGCGGCTGCGTTATATATTACGTGGTCCGTGCCCACATAATAACGTTGGATGCATCGCATAAAGGCATCGCGACGGAGAGCGATTATGACCGGGTGCATGCCCGACAAAACACACTTGCGGCCGGTATATAAAAAGAGTTCGTGTGTACGACGTCTGTTGCAATCGACGGCGTTATCCTCGCGTTAAACCCGCACGGTTTTGGCGAATTAGGTTACCGCGGGCAAGTAACAAAACTTTTTGTTTTTTTACCCATCGGGTTTTTAGTTTACAAACAAATTTCCGCGGAAACTGGATCGCGGCTATAATTAACGGGAAACATCTGATGCCGCGCGTTAGAAAATTATGGAGAATAATCGGGTCCAATTGCAAAGGGACTCGCTCCGTTGGAGCAATGTCGTCTGCACAATCGAACAATTGCGTGTTCTTTAGAAGAATTTTGTGTAACTGAAAAGGAAAATGCACAATTTCCAGGACATTCTGTATAAACTAAGTATTTGCGTAGACCTCACCCCCCCCCTCCCCCCACGAAGCATGACAATCAACGAGTTTAAAAGGAACAAAAATGTGTACAATGCCGAGCCGTTTGTAATTTAAACATACAAAATTCTGAACGCAGCGAAGTATAAAATACTGAAATGATTATATTTCGTACCTTCTGCATTCTCTTTTTGTCGAGCGAAGTTTTTTTTAATGAAAGTTTGCTTTATCTGTCAGTGAGCGCAAAGAGCGAAAATTAAATAGCGGAAATTCTCCTCACCCGGTGTGTAAATAATTCACGGCGCGGGCAAATTCGCATTGTGAGGAAACGTGTCGAGGCTCGCTCTAAAATAATTCAACGACGTTTTATCGATCAATTTGCAACTCACTTGGAGCGTAAACCGTCTTTGTAACTGACCCGATGACCTGCAGTATATAATATGGTCGCACGTTGACGTTGGCGCAGTACATAAACGCAACTATGCGATGGACGTTGCACGGGGTGCGTTTATAAACTTTCTCACGCATGCACGCACACCATGCATGTGCGTCCTCACGAGTAGATTGCATACAAAATAATGAAAAACGGCGCGGCGATAATAATGCTGCAACGTGCGACCAACCTTTCATGGTTAATTAATTAATGCATGCTACGTTTCGACACGTTGATTGAAAGATAAATATGAGATTGTGATAGCAATCCTGTTTAACTTAGAGAGGAACCTTTTTTCAAGCATAGCAGCATAACTGAATTACGCGGTAATGCCGTTATTAAATAGATAATTTTGCAAAAGTCGCACGATTCGGGGAATAATAATAAAGTTCCGATGGCCCTTCGTACTCAACAACCATCGCGCGGTATGAAACTCATCGTGTAGCGGCGAGTCGAGGGCCCAAATTTTTAAACAAATTACCATAGATTAACTAATCGATTAACTGATGACGCATCGCGGTCGTATATTACTGCTCCGCACCCCCGTCCCGCAGTTTAGCATTATATTATGTGGTTACAACCGTGCAAGGGCAACTATGTGAAACACGCTTGCATAATCGATACGTGCGATTTCGGCATATTAGCAGCGTAAGCATGTACTGGGAATTTCCGCGAACAATGGCCCACGCCGACAATATGCTTTGTTAAAAGTGGCGAACTCCGTGGAAAAATGTGTAAAACCAGTCGTTACGCGGTTGTCATTACGGAACTGATGGTATTTAAATATCCGCAGGTGGCGCCGACAAAATATTATCGCATATTACTACGGTATTTATTGCATATAATTTAGATCGCCAAAGTGTCCTCAAATACAAAAGCGGATTATTTCGAGACCTTTTTTTGTCCCTTATCTTTCCATCCAGCACGGTGCTTTTAATCGCATACGCTTAATTGTCGATACCTACACAGTACGAGAGCAATTTCTAATATGAGATAGCAGATTTTCAACACCCAAACTCAATCACAAATCTTGTTTCGCTACAATTACACGATCTAACAATGAATTTTCCATTAAACAGATCTCGCTCCAAGGGTAATAAATTCATGGTGGCAAGCCCGCTATCTCATATTAGGAGCCTATCTCGTAATAGGGGACTTTCCTCTACATATATGTATTATAGATCTTTTTCTTCACGTATCTCCTGCCTTTTCACGCAAAATTCTATTTGTAGTAATTGATTATACGTTGCACTTACATCACGCATTATTATAACATTATCATAAAATGGATAGATATATGTTTAAATAAACGTTTTAATTACACGATTAAAAAATTCGTTTTCGGTACGTACTACACTGCAAAACGATAATTACATTGAATATTTTATATGTTTACGTTTCCGTGACTTCGTCAATTAAAAAAATATGCGAGTCGAGTGAGGTATCCCCGTTTTAAATTGCGTTCAGTAAACTCCAATATGCAAGATAAATGTTACGTAAATTTATCGAAACGTTCCATTGCTTTGCCATTCGTTCGGGGAGAATATATTTTTTTGATGTTAAATGGACGCTACTCGAACTTGTACTTTCGTGGATTAAATGCTATTTTACAAACTACAATGTATAGGTAGAATATCTTCTACAATTCAAAAAGGTGGCTTTTCACTCTATCCTAAGCCTAAATGGCGTTGGCCAGCCGACAAAATTTTTTTGCCACGGAATCTCTTCGGAAAAGACTGAATTTCGTTAGAAAATGAAGGCAAAAGTCTTCCGCATAGTTTTAAATTACATTTGGTACGACGTAAACGTCAGATATCACGAATATAAGTTTTAAAATACAATTGAAAATGACAATAAGTTATTGTAATTTAGAAAATACTTGATTTTCTCAATGTCAGTGTGTCTGTATTTTCTGATTCATATTCAATTTCTGATTTCTACAAATACATAAATTATTATTTTACATTAAAATAATACCTTGATATATAATGTATATAAATTCCAGAACTGATTCGAGAATCTATATAAAATCTTCAAGAATATCATAACATATATTATTCCATATCATTTTATACTTCAAGGATCCATTTGCTACGTAATGCGGCAGAATATGAAACAGATGCACAGGTGTACGTAGAAAATTTTAATAAATGTAATATAATTTTACATTACCTGTTATACATAAGAACGTCAGGTTTCCACAACCGATGCGGCGGTATTCTGAGGTCTCGTACACCTCCGTAGTCCGAGACGTTCCATCTCATGTTTACGTCGTTCCATTCCTGTAATTAAATGAAAATTATGCAGAGTTACATGAAAGAGAGTTATATTACAAGGAATTCCGTCGTCAGTTATTAAAGTTATAACGAAAACAACGATCGCTCTTCAAAAAAAAACTTCAGTTAAATACTAATGAAAACTGGAGGTTTAAAATTTTGCAAATTTTACGGTCAACAACCTTTGTAGCTGCGTTATACTTTCGTAAAATCCCCTTGTCTATCGCAAATTAACAAATATATTGACTAAGAAATCTTTAATCTCGGTCAAATCTAATTTCGCGCAATCAGGAAAGAGCACAGACGTTGACACACATATCTAAAAAAATCACGTTCGAATCACTGCGTTTTCTCTAAAACGATATTGACGTTATCCATTTTTCAAATAGTAAGTGCCGACCTTTGCTTCTCGCGCAAATATTTTAGATTACGTCGTATACATCAAGTAAACGCTACAACATTTCAATTTAATTCTCGTCCAGAGAATTTACGAATGTGTTATTTCGCGAGTCGAGTCCCGTCCTTTTACTCCTATAACGTACAAAGTGCACCTTTGGGAAGCCACAGGCGTGCTGTTCATACACATAAATTCGATAAATTACTTGCAGTATCTTTTACCATTTGCTTGATTTCCTTGATTCTCCTCGCAATTTCGAAGTAAGTTGCGACAAAGTCCTCACTTAGGAGTTTCATACGGTAGAAAAATAAAACGGCACTATTATTAATTGTAAAACAGGCGTCAGAAGTCCCGAATAAACTTTTATCATAAACAAGTTTGAAATTTAGCCGGACACCGGGTACGATGGCGCCCGCTAATGCTCTTCCCGTAGTTTTCAAGAACATTTTTCGAACTTTCCTCGCGAGTTTGCGTGACTTCTCCGAAGCGATTTAGGAGCTTCGAAGTATTCGTGGTTCGAGGTGCCTCTCACTTCGGATGTAGCCCTTCCTTCCTTCGGCGGAGCGGAAATGAAAGAGACAGGATCGATCCGACCAATGTGGCCGTAACAGGTCGTTGCGCGTTATTTTTGACCGTATTCCTTCAAGAAGATTATTCCGGTCACGAAATGAAGTCGAAGAATTAGAAAGAGGACGTGACAATGTGTGTCAATAACGTTTTAATGTACATTAATTAAAAGATTCTATCTCCCTGTCGCTTTCGAACTCCGCACACGTCCGCGCCTTTCTTTCTCTTATTTATTTGAGTTTATAAAGCTTCTCTATCATTTTGAATCAATCCTTAAATTTATGCTTACAATGATCGTCTCATCTTATTTTCTTATCGCATCATTATATATCAAACATCATATTAAAATTCATGGCGAGTTTTCGTTCGCAGACGCCAACTCTATAGGCTAATCTAATAATAACTATAATACAATAAAAGCGGGAAAGAAATAAATGTGACTACACCAAGAGAAATGGAAGAACAGGTTTTCCAAGATTTCCCAGAAGATTTCTCAATAGTACGGCAACTCTCGTTTTGATACACCCCTAAAGTCTAGTATGCAGCAGTAAGCTCGAACAGTTTGGTCGCCCGGCTGTCGTACTCGCGCCGATTAGTCACTGACCCCGATTGATTAGCTGCTGATGGAGTGCAACGCGAGATAATTAATAATAGCGCGCGCGGTTCGGCGCGGCGGTTTGCGGACTTGCCGTGCGTATTAATTATTATTATTGTACAATCGTTTGCGGGTACTTAAGAAAAAAAAATTGATGCCACTAATTGCGGTCTCGTTAATCCAATTTTCATCGACGCAGAGAAGTTTCTCGAGTTCCTTTTAAAGAAGTTCCTAAACGTATTTCAACAGTTTAGCCTCCAACTGATGAGAAAATTATTAAAACATGAAACAGTATCTTTTTATGTACATTTATTATCAGCCTGTGCGAAGGGCCGATGTTTAAAATGAGTTAAACACCTATTTACTAAGCGTTCTCCTATCGAGAAAAATGAGAAAAGTTATTTAACGTTTCAAACGCTATATGCCCAAGGAATATCTAGAAATTTCGCCCAGCGCAAATTCACATACATTTAGCCAAACAGTTTGTCTATTATTGCCTGGCTCTTTCGTCTCAGTGTATTATTTTTCACAAGAAGAAACTAATTGAGTCATTGAGCGCAGCCATTGAAGGTAAATCCTTCGCTCTTAAGAAAGCATATTGTCGACCGCGGGGCAAAGCTGTTTTCGTGTTTTGCCGGACGATCCTACTCTACCTCTGGCACGCGATATCACTTCGTATCTTCCCGTTCTATGAAAAGCGTGAGCGGGAGCGATGATGCTTCCACAGACATCCTCCACAGACGAAACAAATTCCGACAATCTCGTTTCGCACTTGGCGCACCGCCCCTGAAGAATGCGGGCCGAAGACGTTGGAGTCGACGAGCCGGATGCAGGGGTAACCGGATGGCAGGATAAAAGTCACGGGATTGGAACGGAACGGAATTCCGTTGCGAAACGCCCGTATGATTTCGCGAGTCACGCAAATTCCGAGTGAAACGGTTTTCGAGAATGTCATTTACAATTCGCGCCTTTTGAAACGCGACCTGTTTTCTGAGGTAGTATTTTCTAAAGGAAATGTCGATTTATTTTGTCTGGATATAATAGTATTCATAGAAATCTCATTGATTCCCTTGCTGTATGTCATTATTATTTCTTATGTATATAATTATTTTTCAATCCCGACTTTTCATTACAATACAGTTCTAAAATAAATTAGATCTGTGCAACTTTTACTTCTAATTTAGCTGTAATCCGTTAAAAAAAGCGGTCGTTTGTGGAGGATGCGCCGAACTATTATATTAAACCGTGCATTGAAAAGCAGAAGTAGCCCGATAAAAATTGAAGATGATGTGAAGCTAGCGAAAAAGAAAAGGAACGGAGAGCCGAAAGATTTAACAATGCTGCAAGCATGGAAGACCTTTTCATCTTACGTTCTTTGCTGTTGTACCCACGAAAAAAAAACAAGATAGATAAAATTGTATTATATAAGCTATATAAAAATGGGGAAAGGAAAACAATGAGATAATTACAATATTTTATGTTAAATTTCTGTTATATAAATAACGTGATTATTCCAATGAAGTGCATCGTTGGTTTAACTTTCATAAGAATATCTCGATCTTTTTGATTAAAAAACTTCTTCTCAAAGCTTTCTTACAAAGTAAATGTATTTATATTATATTAATATCAAGCTGTTCGTCAAACGTAGTCTTCGATTTATCTCGTTAAAGGCGTAATTTATTCTAAAACTTATACAACATCACTATATTGCTTACACATTTTCCTATAAAATAACTAAGTAATTTATGTTTATCTCTTAATTAAAGGGAGAGAATACCTATGTGGAATGTAATTTATATTTCATGAAAATCAAAGGAGGGAATATATTCGTCAAGCGTGCATTTCTCTGCGATAATTATACATCGTCATAGGCGAAAAGTGGAAACTCTCGTGTAGTTCAGTGATTTGCATGGCTAATCCGGTCTTAGTTAGCATAGTTTCGTAGAACGTGGCCTAATATTCCTGTGCATACTATATAATTTCTGTTGCTGCGATATTCATAAACCTGAAATATATCCGTCACACTATCTTTAGCATTTCTGTGACGTGACTCGTGAATCGATTATTTATTTTCTTATTACGAAACTTTATTAGAACTTTGTAGGACGCATATTGTAAATATCTCCTTTTCGTTATTTGTGGATTTCAAATAAGCTTTCGATTGATTATTCTTATCTTTGCCTTCTCATAAAAAATACAGATGCAACTGCATTATACCAATACAGCTCACTGTTGTCAAAAGTTTGCAACAATACATTTACTAACTACTGTTTGTCGAGTGAGATAAATGAGTCAATTATTAATAATTAAGAAAACGTGGTTGAGGCATTTCGATTACAATACAGGTCGCAGTTCACTCAAGATATGTGGACGCCGAGGGGTAAACCTCTGAGGGTATTCTGGTGTACAGATTTGCGGCATTACTGGACATTACTAGGCATTTTTTGGGCATTAGGCCTTGCTGGGGCATTAAAAAGTAAAGTAATGCCCACTGCGCATTAGTGGGCATTGGTGATTTAGGTCAGCGGTTTACCCCTCGGTGTTGTGTGTTTGGACGCCTATAATATAAATATATATTTCATAATGAATTATTATATATAAAAATAAATTTATTTTCCGCGAATTATATCGCGTTATCGGAATGGCCTTTTTTATCCTTATCGAGGGGACGCGGACACATAAATACATTTTATGAGTTTAAAGAAAACGCTTTTACGAGTCTACATCCATTACCAGTCCAGAGTTGCTCGAGACAGTTATACTCGGAGAGCGCATTCCGGCGCAAACTGCGCTGTAAAAATCAAGCATGAAATAACGCCGCCATCCCTCTTATAATGACAATTACGTATATCTGTAGGATATACGCCGGCACCCGCAGAACGAAACACCGCGAGACATTATCGCGCGCAACATTTCACTGGAGGATCGAGACAAATGAGGAAGCTTAATCGAACCGCCAGCCAATCGCGAATTCTTTCTTCCAGGAATCCGCGCTTTTTTCCCCCCCAGGCCGAGCGGTCTCGGCGACAGGACGAGACATTCTCGCGACGGAGTCTCCCCGGGGATTTAATCGCACGTTCGCGTTTTAAACTCGCGAATTGGGAATTCGAGTAATTTCGATTACCGTCGCGGCACGGATTCGCGGAATCCCGATCGCCATTTTATCGCGCAAGACCGAGAGCGTAGGTGGAGAACGGCTACGCTGGTTGTCACGGGGAGACCGATCTGCGGCGTCGCATCGTCGCCGCGATCCCCCGTTTCGCTCCCGTTTTCCCCTTGACGAAATTATCAATTGAAGTAACAGCCAACCGGAAAAGTAACAAACGTTTTTGTGAGACGAGATCACGTAACAAATGTGACCGATCAAAATTGAGATTGAAAGTAGAAATAGAAGTTGAGGGTCTTCCCCTTTTTATCATTGGAATTTTAGAACGAACAAAGTTCCCC